TTGAATCTGACTGGATGACCTGATGAACTGTAAAGTGACCTGAGATGACATGATGTGAATTGGAGCTATAGAAATAAATTGAATTGAATCAAAGAAATTCACTGAAGAACTGAGATCCTGGGAAACAATTTAAGAGCTTAAATTACAGATCCTGCAGTTCTAAACATTTTTATTTCTTTTTCACCTTTATACACGGTTTTTCAATACAAGCAGGAAACTGAACTGGCACCCACTCACAGACCAAATGCTCAGGAAGTTCTGTGATTGGTGGGTTAAACTATCAATCTACTTGCCACATTGGTAGGCTGCCAAAAAAACCAAGACAGCACTGAGCAGGTGTTGTTGACCAATGGTGTAGCATATTCATTTTTTAAAGAAAGCCCCAGGCTTGCAACAGACTCATTTTAATTCATGAGATGAAATGAATGAAACAGGAAATATATCCCACAGGGTTAAAGGTCGGTCAGGCATTAAAAGCTTCAAACATCTTTTTGATAAAACACTGACAGACGCATCATTTAGAAACAACCAGAAACACGATACAGACGGTTCAAAAGGATTCAAAGTATTTTCCTTCAGGTTTCAACATCCTTCCTTTGAACTAATCAACACCTTTGTTTCTAGATGCTGGAGATGGAGCTGTTTTTCAGTGTAGTCCTGTTTCTCTGACTGTGACAGACGGTGCAAAAGTATTCACACCCCTGAAAGCCATCAGTTATTTTTCATGCACAAACGTAGATGTTCAAGGAAGTTCTTTTAGAGGACAGAACAACACAAAGTGGTTCTTTTTTGCAAACAAAAAGAGTCAGAAAGTTTTATTATTTTCTTTAGAAATGAAAATGTGCAGAGCCACCTTTAGCTGCATCTACAGCTACAGGAAGTGATGAGTCCGATGAGTCAGCGGACTACAAGCGTGTGTCTGGCATTGCAGGCAGATGTCTTGCAAAGTACAAAACATTGCAAAGTCATTTGTACTAAGAATTACATTTAAGATATCTGAAATGTTCATTTTAGATACGAAGAATGTTAATTTATATATTCATTATGATGAG